ACTTAGAGGAGGGCAGGGAGCTGTTGCTGTTGGCAGCAGAGGAGAGGACTCGCAACAATGGGTTTAAATGAAAGGTGGGAAGGTAGCAGCTGGATATTTGGAAAAACTTTTTTTACAGTAAGAGTTGTGCAACGGTGGATTCAGCTGCCTAGGGAGGTGGCGAGCTCCCCCTCCCTGGCAGTCTTTAAGCAGCAGCTGGACAAACCCTTGTCAGGGATGCTCTCTAGGCTGATCCTGCATTGAGCAGGGGGGTTGGACTAGATGGCCTGTGTGGCCCCTTCCAACTCTGTGATTCTATGATTCTATGAATTGCTGCAGCTCTGCTTTAAATAACTGGTGGAGGCCTCGGTGACATGGGATGTGTTTCTCAATTTTTGTCGGGTCTGTTTCAGTATTCCGACTAGGGAATTCTGCCGATGCCCTGGAAGCAGCCAAACGGGCTATCCACCTGTCGGACATGGTCCTTCGTTTCTGCATCACTGTGAGCCACCTGAACAGAGCCATGTACTTTGCCTGTGACAATATCCTATGGGCTGGGAAATCTGGCCTCATCCCACACATGGACCAGGAGAAATGGAGCCAGAGGTCATTCAGGTGAGGTCACTCCCCCTCCCCGTACCTGCCTTATGCTGTCACCTCAGTACTTGACAAGTGCCAAAAGGGGGGTGGAGTTACATTCTGCATTACCAGAAGTTGCAAATCCTGTGCATAAAATACAATGAGGCTAATCTTATGTAGAAATCAGATTGTAAAAGTTGTTGTAATTGTTGAGGAAAGGAAGAGACAGATGTGCAATGCTGATAGTCCATCTGCCCTAAGCAAAAAGTGAAAATGGTGGACTACAGGCAGAGACTGAACGCTGTATGCAAACCAGGCACTGTCCCACTGGGCCATGGCCCCTTCCCTGTCTTTCACTGCAAGGAAAAATAGATGTTTACTTTCTGTTTCTTGCTCATTGTGCTCTTTTGAAAATAATATCCTCCCAGAGTAAGTTCCCCAGGAGCATCTCTAAGAGTTGTTTGGTATGTGTTTTGGGGCAACCCTGAACTTCCTTGGAAACTTGTCTAAAGTTCCTCATGACAAGATGAATAGCGATAGAAAAGCTTTCCTGGAACGTGGCTTGCCTGCTGCTATTGATCTTCTCCCGCACACCCACACACCGCCTCAAGGTAACCTCTGAATATGAAACACAGATTGCTTGAGGCATTGCCGAAGTCCAACAGGTTTACCTACAGCTCAGTGTTTTCTGAGCCACTCATCCCCAGACAGGATTCTCTAACCCCCAGGGCTTCCGCGACAGACAAACTGAATCATAGAATCATAGAATGTTAGAGTTGGAAGGGACCTTGCAGGTCATCTAGTCCAACCCGTAGCACTCTGCAGGAGCATAGCTGAAAGATTGCCCTACATACCTACAACATACCCGAAACGTCCAGCGAAGGAGCATCCACCACCTCCTGAGGCAGACTGCTCCACTGCTCAACCACTCTGACAGTTAGGAAGTTTCTCCTGATATTTAGCCGGTAACGACTCCCTTGTAATTTCCACCCATTAGATCTAGTCTTGCAATCCAGAGCAAGAGAGAATAGATCTGCTCCATCTTCTACATGAAAGCCCTTCAAATACTTGAAGACTGCAACCATGTCCCCTCTAAGCCTTCTCTTTCCCAAGCTAAACATACCAGCCCTGTTTGAAACTGGAAGGGTTCCTTGAAGCCAGGAAGCTTTTGTCAAGACTCAGGTGGGGTGTCACCTGATGCTACCACCACTCTGGATTTAGGTTCCCTTGAGAAGGCCCAGAGTACTCTCCCAAGACCTTCAGACCTCCCTTTAGGCCAAATAACAGGCGTGAGGACCAGGCAGAGCAAAACAAGGAAAAGGTTTATTTTATAGGAGGTCAAACAACAAGGTGCAGAATAATAACAGTAAGTGGGTGAAAAGAAAATAAATTAAATGCCCTAAAGCGTCTAAATATACTTTTCCCTAGCTCACTATCGTGGCCTTACACTACTCACCCCTCCCTCAGGATGAGGGTTTTTCCCCTGCAGCAGCCTTTCTTCTGGCTCTGCCCTCTAGAAGAAAGAACAACTCTTCCTGCTGCTCCAGCACTTTTATTCACAGTCCTCCTTTTTTCCTGTTAGTCCATTTTGGCTCCAAAACCTCCCAGGGGCTTCTGGGAGTTGTAGGCCCAGCTTCACCTACTGCTAACCAGGCTATCTGGGCCTAGTAGGCCTCTGGTAGCACAGCCCAGATCATGACAGCTTTGAAAGCCATATCTTTGTCTCCAGTACCATTTGGTTGCTTCTTCAGAATCCAGAGGTCCAAGTGGAAACGGTGGGCTCATGATGATGGAGAACTGGCCGATTCAAAACAAGGCTGGACAACAAAGAGGGAGCACAGAAGTCAGAATTTGCCAGCATGTCCATTTCTTTGGGTTTCCAAGATGCTCATTTAGGGCTGTCAGCCATTCCGGCTTGAGGAGTGTCTGAAGGGACATTGACAGGTTGGAGGGTTCGTAGGCTCCTTGGGCCTTTTGAGTAGCTGGATACAAAAAAGCCTAGACTAAAAGGCAGTGGTGGAAGACTTTCTGGAAACATTTTTGCTACCGTGAGACTGAACCACCAATCTGGATGTTCTCGGTTGAAATTTTGCCTCTCCCAGAAACTTGAGAGGTTGTAGATCAAGCCTGGTAGCCGTGTTAGTCTGTCTGTAGCAGTAGGAAAGAGCAAGAGTCCAGCAGTGCCTTAAAGGCTAACAACGTTTGTGGCAGGGTATATGCACCTTAAAGACTAACTTTAAAGACTAACACCTTAAAGTAGCACCTTAACGACTAACAAAATTTGTGGCAGGGGCATGCAAAGTGAGCAGTGACTCATGAAAGCACGATACCCTGCCACAAATTTTGTTAGTCTTTAAGGAGCTACTGGGTTCTTGCTCTTTCCTACTGCTTGAGAAGTTGTGTGAGACAAGCCATTCTCCCCGAGTCCCCTGTCTGCATCATGGAGGCAATGCTAATTGACCTCGCAGAGCTGCTGTGGGGATTACAGGATAATAGCACGTGAAAGGCTCTGAATACTTAAAAACTGCTGTATTGATTTAGTGAGAGACAACTAGTAAGTGTTATAATTTTTGTATATGAAATCTCAGAATATGTAAACCAACTTAAGTGCACTTGATTGATGTGCCCCCCCCACCTCCCCGAATCAAATATTTCAGTTCAACTATTTTTGACTACTTTGGGGGGGGGGGAACACCTTTGAGATATTTATACAGCATGGAGACTACGTGTGATGTTGCAAAGCGCCTGGATTGTGGTTTGACAGCTCCCAAGACTTCCTTTTAAGACCAGAGGGGGACCACCCAGACCAGTGTCTGGTTTCCAGAAGTGGCCAGCTGAATCCCTCCGGGAAGCCCAAAAGCAGGGCAGGAAACTAACAGCCCTCCTCGTTGTTTGCCTCTAGCAGTTGGTACTTGGAGGTAGACTGCCTCTGAATGTGGAGGTTCTACTTAGCATCCATAGTTGAGTGCTGCTGACAGGCCTTCCACACCATCCGTTAACGGCTCTCTTCCCTCATGCTTTTCAGATACTACCTCTTCGCCCTGATAATGAACCTGAGCCGGGATGCCTACGAAATCCGGCTGCTGATGGAGCGCGAGTTGAATGGGAAGTGCCAAAGGGGAGGCGGGGACAACAGCAGCGCCCCCAGGAAAGACGGCAAGGTCCAGCAGCTGGCCCTGAGGCTGAAGCTGCAGCTCCGCCTCCTCGCACACGTGCTGAGGAACAACCCGCCCCTCCTCCTGGACGTGCTGAAGAACGCCTGCGACATTTTCATCCCACTGGACAGGCTGGGCCTATACAAGACCAACCCGGGTTTTGTGGGGCTCTGCGGCCTGACGTCTTCTGTCCTCTCCATCCTCACTATCGTCCACCCGTGGCTGAAGCTGAAACCTTAAGAACGTATAGGGAGGTTAAGGACTGGCTGGCTTCTGTGGAGACAGCAGAGTTCTTCGCAGTGCTCTCCTTCAGCCCGCAGGCGTGTCGATGAGCTGCTGGCCTTCCTCAGCCTGTGGCTATTGTGGCGGACACACTTCCTTGGAACGTGGCAGGTCTCGGGCCTGTTCTTCTCCCGGACTCCTGTTTTGCACTGTAAGTGGCGGCCCACAGCTTCGCCGCCAGACGTCTTGAAACGCCATACCACAGCCTGCCTACGTAGATTGTCTTTTACTCACATTCTCTGTGTCCTTTTCCCGCCCGTTTTCCAGCTCCATAATGGCCCTTCTAACTCCACAACAGCCTTTCTCCCAAATCCCCCTTCCCCGCACTTCATCTGTCTTTTTTGACACCAAGCTTGGGTTTCATGGGTCAGCCTCACACACCCTGTGGGTATGTATCCCTCGTTCCCGGACAACCAAATGGGGAGGTGGCTGGAGCGAGAGGCCTTCTCCTGACTCTCCCTGTCCTACTAGTAGAAGGAGGATGTAACAAGAGGCTCAGGAACGAGCCTCGCTGGACATTGGGCCTGCGGCATCCCTTGTCGCCTAGGCCTTGTGGAATTCTCTGTCCTCTGCCTGCTGTTTTGGAGACTGATGAGGAACAGCCATGGAGACGAGGCCTCACTGGAACGGAAGGATAAGCAGATGCTTAGTGAGCTAGGCTGATCAGCTCCGCAGAGAGAAAGCCCTGGTTCGGTCGGCCAGAACCCTGCAGTGTCTGGTGCCCCACGAAATGCTTGGGGTTTCTTGTCGATGCCTTCATCTTCTACTTCCTTCATTCTTGCATTCCCCTTTCGCTCTTGATTGTAACAGTTTCCCCACCACCCACTAACCCTTTTTTCCTTTTACCTTTGCAGTCATCTTTGCATTCTCATCCGTGAGCCGAATGTCTGTAGCTAAATGCAGCGATTCCCTTTCCACCCCACCTCTGATAACCTTTTGAATGGTTTGATGGCTTACTTTGGTCCCCCCCCCCTTAGGTTTTGAGCCAGGGGGTGCTACTAGTTTTTCCTGCAGCATGTGATTTCACACTCCAGAATCGGGGGGGGGGGGGCTCTTGTTTTAGAAGGCGAAGCTTAGCCATCCTTGCTTTGTGTCACCCAGGTCCATCTCCAAAGAGGGCTCCTGTCAGATGGGAGAATTTTGCCAAAGGCAACTTCTTCCTTTGCAGAGCTCCAATGATAAGAGAAGCTGACCCTGTTTCAGTGTCACTCCTGAAGAAGGGGCAGGAACCCTTTTGGATGTGCTAATCTTATTTATTCTAATACCTTACACCTCCTTCCCCTCATTCTTTAGGCTTGCACAACAGGTAGGCGCAGAAGTTTAACATGTGCACTGGTCTCTCTTCACAGTCCCTGTACTGGTGACAGCCGCACTGGATGACTGACTGCCTGCCTGCCTTCCTGGGGCAGCAGCTGCCAATGCAGAGTTTTCAGGGTGATCAACCCACAGTCCCTGTACTGGTGACAGCCGCACTGGATGACTGACTGCCTGCCTGCCTTCCTGGGGCGGCAGCTGCCAATGCAGAGTTTTCAGGGTGATCAACCCACAGTCCCTGTACTGGTGACAGCCGCACTGGATGACTGACTGCCTGCCTGCCTTCCTGGGGCAGCAGCTGCCAATGCAGAGTTTTCAGGGTGATCAACCCATGGCTCGTCGTACCCTTTTGAGAGTGAACAGGCGCCTTGGCACAAATGATAATTGTGTTTAAAGAAATTGGCTGCATATTGTGAACTAGCATTTTGAGATAAAGGTTCTAATTAGCTCCTCTTTGACAAGCTAATTTTCTCTAAGCAGGGAATATTCTTTGAATGGAGGGCTGTGAGCAGCTGTGCAGCCAGGCACCCCACTGAGAAGTGGGCCAGGGGAGGAAAACTGGTCCACTTCCCCACTGATTGCTGCCTCCTGTACAATGTCATAAACCTCCATCCATACTTCTTCAGGCACTCTGTCTATCAAATCTAGTCAAACCTATTGTTCACCTCCACTGTATATTCATCAGTGATATGCTCTGGGTCAAACCTGAATGGCCTAGTGGTTTAAGAACATAAGAACATAAGAGACGCCAATGTTGGATCAGGCCAAAGGCCCATCCAGTCCAACACTCTGTGTCACACAGTGGCCAGAAATACCAGTGCCATCAGGAGGTCCAGCAGTGGGGCCAGGACATTAGAAGCCCTCCCACTGTTGACCCCCCCCCAAGGACCAAGAAGACAGAGCATCACTTGCCCCAGAGCCCCTAGCTATACCTTGTGGCTAATAGCCACTGATGGACCTCTGCTCCATATGCTTATCTAATTCCCTTTTGAAGCCGTCCATGCTTGGTTGTTTGGGGTTTAGGGTAATCTTGAAGGCTTTTTGGTTGAAAGCTGGCTTGCAAATAGTTATTTAGGGAGTAAGCAGCCATCTCTCTCCTCCACTTACCTGCACTGCTGCTTATCTGTTTTGCTGAACCAGAAGTTTCTGGAATTTTCTTTTTTGCAAAAGAATGTTTTATTGCAGATTCATATTACGTTCTCCTATATTGCATATCACAATATGTCACACATTCATATTTATGTCTCTTTAATGTACTTAATAATCTTGCAAAGCAGAAAAATATGATCCAATAGGGTCCAAAATTTAATCACACTCAACTAATACCAAAATCTACTGATAAAACTGCTGCTTATAAAAAAAACAAAAAACACCCTTTGTTAGCACTATATATATATATGTGTGTGCTAGAGGCCTTAATTAGATATATCTTAATGTACTTAATAATCTTGCAAAGCAGAAAAATATGATCCAATAGGGTCCAAAATTTAATCACAGCTAATATCAAAATCTACTGTTAAAACTGCTGCTTATAAAAACACACACACCCTTCGTTAGCACTATATATATATGTGCTAGAGGCCTTAATTAGATATATCTCTTCTTTAGCCTGCTCTTTGAATTTATATCTATTCCAATACCTGATTAATGGAAGCCAAGTCTTGACAAGCCTTTCTTGAGACTTTATTTTACCTTCATGAATCTTCCTGTGTGCTATAATTTTATCCATCAGTAGTGGTTAGGAGTGCAGACTCTAATCTGGGAGAACCGGGTTTGATTCCTGACTCCTCCACATGCAGCTGCTGGCGTGACCTTGGGTCAGTGATAAGTTCTTTCAGAGCTGTTCTCTCAAGGGTGGTTCTCTAGAGAGCTCTCTCAGCCCCACCTACCTCACGGGGTGTCTGTTGTGGGGAGGGGAAAGGAAAGGTATTGTAAGCTGCTCTGAGTCTCCTTCAGGTAGTGAAGGATGGCTATAAGTCCAATCTCTTGTTTTTTTCTTAAGAATCCATACATCCACATCAGATAGGTGGTTGCTTTCAGGCCTGCACCAACAGTTGTCTAGCTGCAGCCAGCAAATCTTTAAGGCTTCCTTTCCCTTGAAGGCTCTGCTGGTAAAATACTGCCTTAGGGGAGCATGTTATTTTACAATAGAAGATGCTGTTTATTTCTCTAAATGTGTTGGTCTGATAATCTTGAGCTAGCAGGTATAGTCGGATTCGACTGGCTTTCGAGCAAGGGAACCTTTATCTTTACTTTCCCTTGAAGGCTCTGCTGGTAAAATACTGCCTTAGGGGAGCATGTTATTTTACAATAGAAGATGCTGTTTATTTCTCTAAATGTGTTGGTCTGATAATCTTGAGCTAGCAGGCAAGCCCAGCAAACATGAAACAAAGTACGTAGTATTTTATTAAATCTCCAGGATAATTTAGAAGCACCTGCCAATGTTTTTGCAGACTTTTTAAGTGTAAGGTACCATGTATACATAATTGTTTTAGGATATTGTCTGGAAATGTTGAACTCATTAGGTTCTCTCCCCCCCCCCCTCCGGTTTTGGGCTGGGAAATTGAAATATATGCAATATTTTCTTATTGCACCTAATTTTTACTCCTTTCCCAGCATAAAATATGTATTTTATAACTTCACTTATACAATTGTAGTATAGTATTTGGCATATTTCCTCAATTTGCCGGGGGGGGCAGAGCGGCGAGGGCCAATGTATAACGGCGAGGGCCAATGAGGATGTATATTGTCACCTTGCTTATCTATATATCTAATAGTGAACTGGCCCCCTCTCACTCATATCACATGCTAGCAAGGTCATGCTCAAGATCCTACAAGCTAGGCTTCAACAGTACGTGGATAGAGAACTGCCAGAAGTACAAGCTGGGTTTCGAAGAGGTAGAGGAACTAGAGATCAAATTTCCCACATTCGCTGGATTATGGAGAAAGCAAGAGAGTACCAGAAAAACATCTACTTCTGCTTCATTGACTATGCTAAAGCCTTTGACTGTGTGGATCACAACAAACTATGGCAGGTCCTTAAAGAGATGGGAGTACCAGACCACCTCACATGTCTCTTGAGAAACCTGTATAAGGGTCAAGAAGCAACAGTTAGAACCAGATATGGAACAACTGATTGGTTTAGCATAGGAAAAGGAGTACGACAAGGATGTATATTGTCACCTTGCTTATTTAACATATATGCAGAGTACATCATGCGAAATGCTGGCCTAGATGAATCACAAGCGGGAATTAAGATTGCTGGGGAAAAGATCAACAACCTCAGATATGCAGACGATACCACTCTAATGGCAGAAAGTGCAGAGGACCTCAAGAGCCTCTTGCTCAGGGTAAAAGAGGAGAGCGCAAAAGTGGGCTTGAAGCTCAACATCAAAAAAACTAAGATTATGGCATCCGGCCCCATCACTCCTTGGCAAATAGAAGGGGAAGTCGTGGAAGTAGTGACAGACCATGTTCCTGGGATCCCAGATCACTGCAGACTGTGACAGCAGCCATGAAATTAAAAGACCCCTGCTCCTTGGGAGGAAAGCGATGGTGAACCTCAACAGCATGATAAAAAGTAGAGACATCACCCTGCCAACAAAAGTCCGCATGGTCAAAGAAATGGTATTCCCAGTAGTCATGTATGGCTGCGAGAGTTGGACTATAAGGAAGGCTGAGCGCCGAAGAATAGATTCTTTTGAACTATGGTGCTGGAGAAGACTCTTGAGAGTACCTTGGACTGCAAGAAGATCAAATCAGTCAATCCTAAAAGAAATCAACCCCGACTGTTCCCTGGAAGGCCAGATAATGAAACTGAAGCTCAAATACTTTGGCCACCAAATGAGAAGGGAGCACTCACTGGAGAAGACCCTGATGCTGGGAAAGATTGAAGGTCAAAGAAGATGGGGACAGCAAAGGATGAGATGGTTAGACAGTGTCATAGATGCAAGGAACATGAAATTGAGCCAACTTCAGAGGACTGCAGAAAACAGGAGGGCCTGGCGAGATCTTGTCCATGGGGTCGCGAAGAGTCGGACTCGACTGTGCGACTGAACAACATTTGGCATATTTATGTAATTAGAACTATAAATGCCTTGGTTTTCTACAAGTAAAATTCTTCCTTAGCACACGTATCTTAGTTTTTGCCATCTGAGGGAGGGAAAAACAAAAGCTGGAAATAGATAATTTCTGTAGTAAACCAAATGGATTTTTGGACAGAAAAAGTTTCAACTGAACTAGCAGTATATTTGAAATAGTTGTATTTAAATAATTAACATCTTTGAAAATATGTTGTATAGGACTAGTGGGGGTGGGGGTCCCCCTTCACATCTCTGGTCTCATGGACCACACCCAAAGAGCCCTCTTGGTCCAGCTTCCCTTTCTCCTGTTTCCCCAGTGCCTGGACAGATACCCCAAAGCATGGCACGAAGGCAAGAGACCTCCCCTGCTCTTCCCTTGACCCTGGTATTCAGAAGTACACTGCCTCTGGACAGGGCAGTTTTGCTTTAGCAGACTTTATTCCAGATGTATAACTATAGGTATAGAACCATTTTTCTGGGTCTGATTTATTGTCTGTCTAGTCCAACATCTTACTTCCTAGAGTGGCCAAGCAGATGTTTCCAGGAAGCCCAACAAACAGGGACAAAAATAGAAGCTTTCCTTCCCCCTTACGGCAATTGGAGATACACTGCTTCTAAAAATGGAAGTTCCATTAGCTGTTGTGGCTAATAGCTATTGATATCCATGAATTGACTTTTAACCGAAGGAGCCCTGCTGGGTTACACCATTGAGTCTAGCACCCTGTTTCTCACAACAGCCAGCCAGATGCCTTGAGAAATCTTGCAAGCTGGCCGTGAAGGCAGCTAGCAACTGGTGCTGAGAAACACTTCGCTCCACTGTCTTCTGAAGACTTTTACAGGGAGGAAGATTGCTCTGTGCCTGGCACATACAGCTGCCACTTACCAGTGGTTAAAATCTTCATGGGTTTACCTAACAAGACAGTTTTCAAACAGAAACTAATCTGTAGCTGATATTCTCTATTGTACAGTGGGATTAGGTTGCTTTGAAATACTCCAGAATTTGGGGTAAGGAATAGTAGGGTACCAAGGCTCATGCTTCTCTGCAAATCCTGTTTCCACCCCCAGTGGTGTTTGGTGGTTCTCATTGCAATGGG